TGAATCTAACTCGATTGTGTTTTTAAGGGCAATAATTTCCTTTTTGTACAAATTTTTGTTTTTGTATCACTTTTGATTTAACAACATCAGCATGTATGGGAATGCATGTTTGAAATTTTTACACTAAAACATTTAGTACGTTATTTCTGAAGAATAATGCCAGTTAAGATGCATGGCTTGTTGAAACATGGATATTGTCTGACATTAGAATATATAATAAATGATAGACAAGGAAGGGCACAGTTCTATAAACGGAACGCCCACACGATACAGTAACACAGGACCACCTGCAAGGAGCCAAATGTAAATTGGTGTTGGGGAAAGGGACTAGAAGGTCGGGAAGAAGGGCACGGGGGCAAAATTGAAATAAAAAAGTAGCGGCAGGCAAAGCTGGTCAAAACTATATGTTTTAATAAAAGCATTGTTCAATCAAATAATATACAGCATGCAGACATTATGCTTTCGATCAGCTTCAAATAGCCAGTAATGATTATAAGATCGTACCCAGAAATATGAATGAGATATGAAAAAAAGAAAGGGCCTATCAAAATTGATTAATGAAATTTTAAGGTCGTATCATATCAAATGATGCATTTGTAAAATACTCATGAATGATACTATTTGAATACACCATTTCTGAACATAATAATTTTATGCATATAGGTTTATGTAACTATCGTAAAAGCTGATTTCAATGACAAGAGAATTGGATGATCACTTGACAATGCGTTATTATGCACCGGTAAATATCAGTGTTAAATGTACTATGAAATTTCAATGAAGTAAATTTCAATTTAGATTTATTTCTGACATATTCTGTAGAATAAAGCTGATAATTTCATACTTAGAAATGTCTGATTATCTTTTTCTATGTGGAGACAATGTCACTATGAATAATAACGTGGAAGGTAAAGATATGTATTCACAGGAAGGATATATTTGTCAAACAGGGGCAGAAATCGTAACTGTAAATGCAAGTAGTCAAAACGACGACAGAAGATTATATGTAGACTCATGGGTATCGGACATCTGGATAATGTCGAGTGTGACGAGGAAGATATCATCCTGCTTGGACAAACAGAAAAAGTTTCGGTACAATTAAGCAAGGCAGTTCATCAGAGAGCTCCGAGGGTAAAATACATTCATTCACTATGTCAACCAATGAATGGTTCACATGATTGTAATGCCGATACCTTATTCATTAACTTTCATTATTTCATTTTATTCATGGGTACAGTATAAGTACAATGTATACTCTTAATTTAAAAGTTTTCATTCATATGAACGACTTAGATATAGTTATTTTTCTAATAAGGTTTTATCCGTGGACGTCTTGGCCATAGCTGGTGCTTTCAAAACATTGTTACTTTCTCGACAATTTGTGTAATGTTTCAATACGCAAAAGTTTGCTATCAACGGCAGAATGACATACTGCAGATTCGGTCTTGCCAATTAGATTCGTTCAATTATGGCATCATTCGAAAAAGTTTACAAAAAGAATTCTGGTTACAAATGTGATTGTGATTGTCTGCTGCGCACACGAATTATCTATACAACTTGTGTAAATGAGTGAGAGGGATACCTGACTTGGTTTTATTTTTAAGTTTTTAAATTTAATTACGACACACATGCACCTTTCCCCCAGAAAGTATATAGATACATATTTTGCAGAAATGCAGCGCTTAACTATTTTCATTATCAAGTATAATGACGTTTTGATTAGATAAAAGTGCCTTTTAGTAACCATTTTACCTTTTATCTCTATTGTATCTGTTATGGACCTATACTAGTGTTAGCTCAAGCATAAAAGCAAAATGAAAGCTGTATGTCTGTATGTAACTTAGGCATTCGCCTTGACAAGATATTTTGTTAAATTAAAGAATGTTTATAAAAAATATGATTCAGTATATTATTCATATAGTGATAAGTTAGAAATAATTTATCCCAAACAGTGATTTTGTCGCTAAATAAACAAGCAATTATCATAGTACTGCAAGAATGACATAGTCCCCTACCGGTTAGAACCCAGACAACATTCTAAAAGACTATTGGCCATTCAATCATGCCATTGAATAGATAAATTATATACTTGAACTTAAATCTACAGAGTTCTAAGAATGTCAGTATTACCTTAATGTGTCAAGTCTCTTGTCTTGTAAACTAGTAAGAAAATTATGTTCATACGACAGAAAAATATGTATAATTATGTGTCAACTTTTCTTTATGTTAAGTATCTTTTTGGAAATGTTCCAAGTAATTTAAACGTGATCTGGAAATAGATTTTAGGAACGGACAGACAGACAGACAGACAGCAGACTGACACTGTTGTTACAAGAATATATAATTTTTAAAAGCAACATTCTTAGACTTAAGAGGAGAAAACTCTTGAAATAAAGTTGCAAGACTTATGAACAATTGCCATACATGATGTGAGTGTAACAAAGAAAAATTATCTTAAGTTCAAAGAAATAACTTTTCATAGTCACAAAGAAGAAAAGACAATTTTTTTTTCAAATAAACCATTTATAGTAACAAAGAAATTTAAAAAAATCAAATAACTTTCAAATTCAAAATGAAAATAATAATGGAAACCCAGGCGCTAGACTAAATTTAATCACATGTGATGTAGGTTTTGATAATGGATGTCTATTTTAAATTTGAAGTCAATTAATGAAGACATAATAAAGTTAAATAATAAATAAAAAATCAAAGTTGTAAGTTTGAAGTAAATCCTACAAAAAATGAAGACGTTTGAGATAAAAATAATAATTATAATTTCTAAGCAAAAATCTAAGTTCAAGGGGGCATAAATCTAGAAAATAATTCAAGCTACAGTATTGAATCCTCACACCCACGGATGATTTGAGTGATAATAAGAAACGTGTATAAGAAGTTTGAAGTTCATGCATAATGATTAAGAAATCAAGAAGTTATAAAAACAACATTTTTCTTCATGAATATTCTAAGTTCAAGGGTGGTAATTCCGATATATTTTGTGCTATAGATGTAAACCTTGTCTCATATGATGTGGTTGATAATCAGAATTATATTTGAAGTTTGATGTATAAACACTTTAAGAAATAATGAACTTCTTGTGAAAAAGCGTAACAACTTGAATAAGAAATATTGACCAGGTCGCCGACACTTGGCGAGTAGGACAGCTCTCAATATACTCCCTATAGTCAGGACTAAAATAATGTGTATAATCTTTAGACAGTCATCTATCCATATTTCATTAAAATATTTTCAGAACGTTTTGAGTAATAACAAATATTGTTATATTTGCCATATTTTAAGCCTATTTGTTGCCATAGCAGCTAAAGTTTTCAACATTCGAAGAAATAAAAGACATGCATAATTTCAAGACTGCAATCTACCAATATTTTATGTTTCATTTAAATATTTTCAGTACTTTTAGAGTAATCACGGGATCCAGTTTTTGTTTTAAATGTGCCATATGCTCAGCTTTTTTTGCCAAAACAACCAAAGGCTTGATTAATAGACTTGCATAATCTCCAAAATGCAATTTACCCATATTTCAAGTTTCATAAGATATTTTTGGTACTTTTCACGTTATTACAAATTTAAGTTTTTGTCTAAATTTGGACACTTTTTCTGTTTTTTGGCAAAGCATCCAAGGTTTTGAACTTTGAACATAGGCAGAAACGAAAAAAGACGTAATAATAATAATAATAATAATAATAATAATAATAATAATAATAATAAAAGAAATGAAATTATTATTCTAAGCAAAGCCTTATGTAAGGGGATTCTAAACATAAATCGATTAAGTTTTCCTAGAAATGAAATATTCAAAGAATTAGGAAATAACTATATGGTGATACGAAAGAACTATCGCTGTATTTTAATGTACTCTTCCGCCATATATTATACTATAATGATAGTACCTGTAAGTACGTAAAAAGTGTATACTTATAACATTAGTGTATTGTTACTGTTTATATCCAAATGGCTTTATTTAAGTTATTTTCTCTGGTGCCTAAATGTACAGACTACAGAATTCTTAGAGTTATATAGAGTTAAATAGACTTATCTTGTCAAGTCCCTTTAAACTTTATTACAAACATGCAAATGTAACCTAGGCCAAGGAAAATAAGTCTGTCAAGCATTAACCATGTTATGTGAAATGCTAATATAAAATATGATCCAACGGCAACATGCGCTAGTGAGGAATTACAAAATTTATATTACCTCATTAAATTAATTGTAAGTTAATATTCTCTATCTTTCACAAGGTCTTGTTCAAAATCCTAATTCAGCATCGTTTTTATTTCACAAAGATTGTATTGGACAAAAGTTTATTTTAAATATGTAAATATTCAATTAATTTGACATAATATTATGATATGATTCATTAATAAATAATGTTTTATGTTTTGTAAGGATAACGGCTTAAGTTTAATTTACTTTAAACAATTGGTTTGATTTTGTGAAAAATAATTTGAACTAAATTATAAATCAAATGTTTGTATCAAATCAGTATTACTTGATCCATAATAATAACTTATTTCCACGTTATCCGTGACTTAAATTATATGATTATTTAGTAAAGATATACTACGCTCACATTTGATATAAGAAAATATTGATAATTGCTACACAGTCTCTTTGAAAATGTAAAATTATCATGTTTTGACTCCACACAAAGTAGATATGTTATGTTTATAATTTTACACACTGTACATGGTCAAAATATGAATACATAGGAGCATTAAAAACCTGGCAGTAATTTTAAGAAACGATCAACTTTAGTTGACCTGTAATAGGGAACGCAGCTTCCAATACATAGTTTATCCATTATTTTATTCAAATTTAACATATTCAGTAAGAATTTCATATATTTCAATTATTATGAATTTCTTTTATTAAAGTATTAACCCAATGATGAGCATAGTATATCTTTAAGTATATACGTTTTTTTTCGTATCCACACACTATCATATGTCTATCTTTCACAATCCTCTCCTTCTTCAGAAAAACAAAACAAACAAAGGGAATGATTGTACAAAACTTACCGATATAATGCCAGAAACGAAAATTCCATTGTTCTTGCGTAAGAAGGCAGACAGTGTTTTGAGAAACGAATCTAAGGATAAGACAGAAAAAGCCAGCAGCTCAGGTATTATTGCATTTTTTATATTTAAAAAAATAATCAGCTTTTTAATATACAGCTTTTTATATCCTCACATAAGAACAAAGTATTTTTTACTTCTTTATAGGGATAAAAGTTGTAATGTAACTATTTAGAAACACTGGATGAACCCCTTTGTCTTTGTGTTCATTATGGCAAATGTCTATATCACCGTGTTTACCATAATTAAAAGTTTGTCAAACTTATAAATTAAAAATATTTTATCTTAAAGTCCTAAGGTCTTTAATGTGATGGTTGGTGATAAAAGCAGATGTCCCTTAAGATTTTGAAATCATTTGGTCGAAGGTCAATTTCGACACAGCCTTTGCTACTAAAAGGTTTTCTTACACGTAATTTGAAAGCACTTTTGCCTAAAGACCTAAGATTTAGTGCAGGGTTTGTTTGATGACGACCCCATTTGATATTTTTTTTGCATACAATATCAAAGTCATTGATTATTTAAAGCTTGTCGGACGCATCAATGGGCCGTCTTACCCTCGTTTAGACATGACGTGGTCAAAATTAGTAGACTACCTCATTCAATTGCAAAACTTATAAGTCAAAGATTAGGACCATCGTGCCTTTGATCATTAAAACCTCGCCCGACCTGTACCTTTTAAGTGCTTGGCATACTGCTTGAGTTTGGGGTTAGTCAAGACATGTAGTTGCCTTTAAAATTGTTAACTTTTTTAAAGTCATTAAGCCAAAGTATAAGGTAACAGTGCCATCTTGTGATGTTCAATCCCTTTCGAGAATGAATTAAGCGGACAGTTTCAAACTGATTAGACTTTCTATTGATTTTGAGGTACGAGTATGCGGTAAAAAGACAATCTCACATTCATTATGTAAGTACTTTTTCAAAGAGTTTGGCTGAAAGCAAATCAAAGATCACCTGTAAGCAATTATTAGATACTCAATCAAGAGGACGAGTTTTCCTTAGACCTTTTATGAAAGTAATAACGTATATATGTATGTATATATTAGTTTGAAATGCTTGTATGTATACTTAAGTTTGATATGCATGTATTTTTATGGGACAGCATATTATTTGAAACATTAAATTTAGTGCCATGTAGATTTTTCGTCAGATGTTTAAAATATAATACTTTTTACAGCTCCAAACAGAAGTTGTTTTGCTGACAAAATACAAGAGCTTAGAAATTTACTTCCCGATAACATAAGGTAAGAAACTAAGTCACTGGAAGAAATTAACATAAGCTAAATATACATTCTCTTTTCAACTGTTAAAGTATTTCCTCAAGTGAAACCTTCATTCTAGTTTACAATTACCAGCTTGTAGTGGAAGATTATCTTGAAATATGTCAGTTCATAGCTCTATCTTTAAATGCAGGAACATGCGTATTGTTATTGTCTTGTTCATCTTAACATAATGACAGAACGGAATTATTAAAAAAACATGTGTTTTCATATATATTACAGTGATTCTTGCGGGATGAACAGCGCGGTTTTACAGGCGACAATTGCATACATTAAACTGCTCAAAAGAAAAGACAGTAATGTAAATCGATTAGCAAAGAAACTGGAAATGTGTAATTTAGAAGTTAGAAAATTAATGAGAAGACTAGAGGTAGGTATAGTTGCTTTGAGATAAAGTAAAGTATCACATAATATTTTAGGAATAAAACATATGCATGTTGGAAATTACTTAATATTACGGCAATAAATTTTAGTGGAAATCTTAATAATTGGAATGTTATTTTGATAATAATTTAGATCCACCTTCTTCTTTTTTTTAATATTATTAATTTAATCACAATATCGACATGTACATGTAAGACTTACCTTATGCTTCATAAATTTCAGAAATTCGTCCTAATAATAATTCAGTGTTGTTGTTTTTCTGGTCCTTTAGGACCATTTATTCTAGCAAGTTAGTATTTAAGATTAAATACTTGCGACTTTATTAGCCTCCACACAGCTACTTGTGGCATTTTGATTAATCTATATAAAATATATAAATTGCACTTGTAAGAATTTCAACATGATGACTTTACTTCCGTTCATAATCGGTTTGGCTGAACAACCCTTTTTGTATTTACACACACAGTGTACACGGTGAATTGACATTTGTCTAATGCATAAATTTCAAATTTTCTATGACTCAAATTAGTTCGGGTTATGTAGGCTGATCAAACTCCGAAAAAAACTCCATAAAGGGTTAAACTATCAGCAACAGAACTTCTGTAACAAGTACCTATAACATTTGAACGATGATGTGAAAAAAATCGCAAAAAATCGCAGGTACCATTTTTTGAAAAATGATATTGATTTAAGGTCCCAAATCCAGATTTTTGAGATAAGTAATAATGGTAAAAAAGCCTTGTACAACGCCTATAGGCCTATAGTATTACTGATAAATGCTTTAATTCTTCACTGTTTGTTTGAACTCGCTAATATAATGTGTGATTGCCCTACTGTGGGTATTTTTTATGCTGTTTAAGCATTTGTTTACTTTTTGACGGGGTAAATAATGTATCCCACTCGATATTTTATACAATGTTGATACATCAACTTAATAGAAACTATACCTTATACTTTGCATTTGCATTCAATGTGACCAAATAAACAATAAAATATCATTATCGTTATCAATGTAAATATTTATTTTTTTCATTCCTATATCGTAACGATGTTAACATGTACATATTTATATGTAAATGTCAAATAGTTCAAATGGCAATGACAATTGACATATATGAAATGTCTGTCATGACTTATCTATTGTTTCTTAAATGGACTAGTGCCATATTATTGTTCTCCTGAAAACGTTAAGGTATTCCTTTACCAGTTCGAAAATTGGAGCTACATGCTTGGTGATAGATAGCATCTGCTGCTAGTAAATCTATCACATGGGAACTTCTACCAAATACCTGCTGGGCCCAGTCGTCATAATTTCTATTTTTGATATCATTGTCAATTGTCTCCTGAAATTTTTATTCTGTGACTGGGTACACATTGTCATTACGACTTCGTTTTCTTTGATTTGCACTAACTTTAATAAATTTTGCAGGAGAACCACAAAACTGACAGTTAGTTTAAAATCAAATATGTAATTTGACCTGGTGTACGGTTGCAATTCTGCTGGGGATTTATTGTCAGTAATTTTTTAAAGAGCTCTTGGATGTGTGTAATTTCTTTTACAATCTTTATGGATATAGTCTCCAGGCCTTACTCTCCATTCAGCCTGGTTTTTCTCAGCATATGCATTAATTGTTACACAGCCTTTTTCATGCATTTAAGCAGAGATACCCTTGTCGTCTGGATCAAGCTCTCCCTTGCAAATTGGACGATCCATCTTCTGTTTAATAATGAAAATATCAGGATTTAGTGAAATAATTACACTTTAAAATGAATTAATAAATATATAAATAAGTGCGATTTCCATGTGCATCCTATATTTTAACTGTTAGATATGTTATCATGTTAAATATTACTACTATGTACAAAACAATGCATATAGTTGATACTGAAAAGTAAATTTTAATCGAAAATCAAAGTTATTTTATTTATCAGTATTTTTAAAAGATTTATTAAACCTGATCATTCTATTGTTTCATATCGACTTTACCATAAATATTATTTGGCATAATTTGGAAACAAATGAGCATGTTAAAATTACCTTCCACTGAATTTATGACATCCAAATTAATCATGTACCTATATCTCTTTTGCGCTCAATGTGCTTTCATAAAGACTGTGTGTTACTGTATCCTGAAAATTTATGAAAATAATCAAGGTTTGCGCTAAAACCTTTTTTTTATACATTCTCAAATTTAAAGTATAAAATCAAAATATATTTTTTCAAGAACAAATATATAATACTGAGTATTTATAAAAAAAACTTACTCACCTTAGCTTATATTTTTCTCACAAAATCTTGAACTCTTTCTATAAATGCTGTCTATATAAGTTTTTAAGCCAACATTTCCAAGTCTATCATAGGGCAACAGTCATTTGAGGGCTTTAAATGGCAAAGCCTGCGACATGTCTGTAAAATAATTAAAATATCGTTATTTTATTATGTAAACTTTTTGATCATATTTGACATAATTTGTAATAATTGCAGTGTTACTTTATATGTAATTTAAAAAGTATATGTTTGTAACTATAGTGAAATGAAGCGTTTGAATAAACTAAATTTTATATTCGACACACAGAGTTAAATAATATATCTACTTACTATTCATTATATTCCATTTATAGTTGACTCTTGCATATCGACATCTTTTAAGAACAGAAGGCAGCATTACGGAGATTCAGTCAATGTTACGGTATATCTGTAAAATGAAAGTTAAAAAATGTATATTCAATTTTGTTGTTCACGCTAAAATGCGAAGAAACTGCCGCAAGATTAGTCAATTGTTGAAAATGATAATGAAGTTACTGAAACATGCAAACTTTCACTGTAAAATACAAAAAAATGTATTATAATTTTATTTATTTTTTCCCGTATCCGCTTCCGAAGTTAAAAAAAAATAACGAGCATTTACTTACCGGTACAATAATTTTTGCCAAAAAACACTCTTTGCGTGATTATTCTTAGTTTGTACAAAAAAAAATAATATAAGCATAACAGAGATAAACATACACCAGAAATCTTAAATATCTGCCTCAAGCCCCGTGACACATAACCAAGGTCATCAACATGCTTTGAGTTTTAAATGTTTGGAAAAAAAATAATTTAAACGAAGATTATATGAAATGCATGTTCTGCATTGTATTATCTTTTCAAAACCATCAATAATTTACCTTTTTCTGTCTCCAAAAGCAACAAATCTGTGAAAACGTCAACTGTTTACACTTTCTAATTCCTCGCGCGTGCGAATTTCTGCTTGGAGAGCAACAAAGGGAGATAACAAAAACGGCAAACGATCATGGCCATTAGAATTTGTTTGAAAAATGCTATTTTAAAAAGTCAATAATTTCAAAAAGGTAAAACGCTGAGCATACGATTTTTTATTAACTCTTATCGATACATGTTCTTTCGTGGAGCGTACTATTTTTTTCTGTTACTTATAGTAAAACCTTTCAATTTACTTTGATTAGACTAATGTTCAGCACAAGCCAATCGTCATGCAAAGTCAAAAATGATTAATGAAAGCACTTTTAACTCTTTTAAAAAACCATAGTTTGGCAAGCACTGCTCATGATCGATATTTTACATGTTTGTGTTCTTGTAATGGATGTATTACTTTGTAATTTTTACTTCTTAACTCTAGTTCAAAATACTCACATCGACCGACTTTTATTTTTTTAATATATGGTTTTATATCCATGTTTAGAAATCCATGCATTGCTTAGATTATATTAAGTTAAATTAATGTACAAAAATAAGGGACCGCTGAAATATATGGGTAAGCAAATGACGTTAAAATCAATTGTCGTAATCAGCAAGTTCTTTTATATATTTTAAAATTCGATACTGCTTTTATATTTCAGACCCTGGAGAACCTTTATTCGGCAAACCCAATAAATAACTAGAATTTTATAGATAGTCAAGTGAGTTCAGCACACTGATTGAGACGATCGATATAACAAGTTTTCATTTGCAAAATCTCAGCCTGGATGTAAGTGCACTACTGAAGAAACTTCTGTATTTAATAAACTTTGAACTTTTTTAACTGTGAAATTGGTTTGTACTGTGGGCGAAATGACATATTCTCAAATAGTTACGACCCAGTAACACAGGACAACAAGCAGGGATCTCAGCAGAACAGACAACTTACATGTTTTGGATTGTCCCATTTTCACTTTTCCACATTTTCACATTTTGTTGCCTTCCTTGTGTTCGTTGAATTCAATGTGGATTTAAAATAGAAAAAAAACACACTCCAGAACTGCTGTAGAAAAAGAAACCATTGATTTTTTTCTCTCAAACATTTAACAGCTTACTCTTAGTCTCTCTTGTCACATACATTATAAATCTTATATTTATATCATTAAATATACTTTTATTGCGGTTTCATGATGTATTAATAATTAATTTAATTATTGTATATACAATGTACGTAAGTCCTCAAGCCATGTTAAATGAACAAGCCGATCTTAAATAACAGAATAATACAAAACGTTAAATTGAAGTTAATTCAAACTGAATATCAAATAAATAGTTTTATGATGTTACTGTATTATATGTGAGCTAGGTATCATATTTCGAATCCATAAGCAGCCTTCAATGGGTAATATTCAGCCAGGTATAACTTTAATATTTTTTTTGTTTGTGTGTAGGGGTTATATACACATTGACACTTAACTATCGAAGACGATAATTATCAAAACATGATTAAAAACGAGGTTTTATGCACGCATAAAATGACTGCAAAGGAATAGTTTATTGTGCACACCGAAGGTAGACACATTTCTGTTTAGATAAGTGTAGTTATTGTAAGGGGAAGCATTATTACGACACGAAAATTTCATTACGCCGTGCAAGTAGTACTGTTTTATAGTGTGACATGACGGGTACGATTTAGTTAATGTCGTATTGTGCCAGGAATCCGACACCATGTATCTTAATTATAGAGACACAACTGACACGCTCGTAATTATTTATCCTAATGTGTTGAACATTAATTTATTTAAAACTATTAAAAGTATTATAAACTTTCAATAAGCTAAATAAGCTAATAACCATCAATAAAACATCAAATATGAGCATAAACATAGTATACATGTATAGGATATTAAAGTCATAAGACCCGTTAGCAAATCTAACCAAAATATAACAAGAGGGCCATGATGTCCCAAGATCGCTCACCTGATCCATCAAACTCATCAAACAATTACCTAGACAAACATTCTGACCAAGTTTCATGACAGGTGAGTCAAAAATGTGACCACTACAGTGTTAAGAAGGATTATCCATATTTGAGCAGTGTGACCTAGTTTTTTACCCAGGAGACCAATATTCAAACTTGACATAGAAATCACCAAAACAAACTTTCAGACCAATTTCCAGGATACTTGGATCAAAACAGTAGCAACTAGAGTGTTAATAAGATTTTTCTATTTTTAGCTCCGGTTACCTAGTTTCGCATGCGATGACCCATGTTCAAACTCATCCGAGCTATCAATTAGACAAGTTTCCTGACCAAGTTTGATGATGATTGAGGTAATGATTTGACCGCTAGAGTGTTAACAAGGTTTTTCTATTTTAGCTCCGGTGACCTAGTTTTTCATCCCAGACGACCCATGTTCGAATTAATCCGAGCTATCACCTAGACAAGCATCCTGATTAAGTCTGATGATGGTTGAGGCAAAAATGTGACTGCTAGAGTGTTAACAAGGTTTTTCTATTTTTAGCTCCGGTGACCTAGTTTTCCATCCGAGATGACCCATGTTCAAACTAATTCGAGCACTTACCTAGACAAGTTTCCTGATCAAGTTTGATGACAATTGAGTCAAAATTGTGACCAATAGAGTGTTAATAAGATTTTTCTATTTTTAGCTCCTGTGACCTAGTTTTTCATCCGAGATAACCCATGTTCAAACTCATCCGAGCTATCACCTAGACAAGTTTCCTGAGCAAGTTTGATGATGATTGAGGTAATGATGTCACCGCTAGAGTGTTAACAAGGTTTTTCTAATTTAGCTCCGGTGACCTAGTTTTTCATCCGAGATGACCCATGTTCGAATTCATCCGAGCTATCACCTAGACAAGCATCCTGACCAAGTTTGATGATAATTGAGGCAAAAATGTGACTTCAAGAGTGTTATCAAGGTTTTTTCTATTTTTAGCTCCGGTGACCTAGTTTTTCATCCGAGATGACCCATGTTCGAACTCATGCGAGCTATCTCCTAGGCAAGCATCCTGACCAAGTTTGATGATGATTGAGGCAAAAATGTGACAGCTTGAGTGTTAACAAGGTTTTTCTATTTTTAGGTCCATTGACATGTGACCGCTAGAGTGTTAACAAGGTGTTTCTATTTTTAGATCCGCTGACCTAGTTTTTCGTCCGAGATGACCCATGTTCGAACTCATCCGAGCTAATACTTAGACAAGCATCCTGACCAAGTATGATCATGATGATTGAGGCAAAAATGCGACCGCTAGAATGTTAACGGACTAAATTTAGACGGACGACGGAAGACAGACGACGGACGACGGCCGACGGACGACGGACAATCATCGATCCTAAAACATGTAAAAGCTGACCCTGAGCATGTTCAGGTGAGCTAAAAAGAATTAGGTGTGACCTTGCTTTACTATATAAAAGGCGGCTATTAAAGTTTTTGAAGGCGCACAGCACTATCCAAATCATCTAAAAATATTCAAAACCTTTGAAATGCACACATTTAAATTTAACCAAAATAAATGTGTTTTTTCGTTTCTAAAAGTAAGCGAACGGATATATTCAAAAGTTACAATCCGACGCTTTACCAACGCGTTTTGCTCCATGTTGAACAGTTTTTCGGTGGAGACACAGAGCACTTACCTTTGCTATTTATAGATGTATCGTGTTTACGCAGACATTCATTTGTCCATACAGCAATGGGGAAATGTTAGACTTGATTTTGTGTATTTTTTGTTGTTTTTGTTTTAACAAAATCACACTAGGTTCAGAATTTCTAATAAAAATAGAATCTAGCTTTTTTGATATAGAACATGTCACAGAGCTTTAAGGGATTAAAATTGACGTTTAACTGAAGTGATGGTGCCATGTTTGAATATCATATTCTGTTTATCATCATCTATTTGTATCTACATAAAGAATAACGTGCAAATGAGCCAGTCTATTGTCAATCTTCTAAAACGTATCCATTCATATATGTAGCGACTGAGGCAGTGTCACTCACTTTATTTGCTTCCTCTGTGTTAAAGTTCGCTCTAAAGTGTCGCCAAATTTGATATGATGCTCCGTATGCAAGCATTTAGTCTTCGAGGACGAGGGAGAAGGAAACCAGGATAACTTTGATCAGTATCACTTGTCGAATTATTACATTACAAGTTACAAAGTCTAAACCACGCCCACGCAAAACAGTTCGTCGTCAAAATTCTTCGAACATTATGCAAATGGTATGAATAATTAAATGGGTATATTCTCGGTACATATTACCTGGAATTTATCTTAAATAAATCAATCAATCAATTTTATCTAATGTTATCTAATTTATTTTGCTTCGACCAGACGTTTCAATCTTTGTCACAACAGACAAACATTTCCAGAATTACATACGATTGCCTGCAAAGTTATTCTATTTATAAAAAATAATAAAAGTAACAAAATCAAGAAAAGATGATTTTACGATGAATGTAAAAAGCCGTTCGTATACGTAAAACTTCACTTAAAAAGTTTGAACATCGCCTTACAACAGAAAACCTTTTTATAGAATTAATTTTTAAAATTATAGAATATTTAGAGCCAAAGCTAGAAGATCAATTCGTCAATATAAACGCCAATCATGGCAATCATATGTTTCAAATATTTATTCAAATACTTATATTAGGAAAATCTGGAATGCAGTACGAAAAATAAGAGGTAAGTATAAAAAAGTCCAACTGTTTACTGAAAAATTGGAGATGGCCAATATGCCAAAACAAAAACGGATATTGCAGAAACTTTTGATCAAACTTTTAAAAAGAAATCTTCTTCAAATAATTATTCAAATGAATTTAACAATATAAATGTAAAGCTGAGAAAGAGCATATTAAGTTTACTTGAACAAACGATAAAGACTATAATTCCCTTTTCTCTATTGATGACTTTATTTATACAATCAAAACTGCAAGTGGTTGTGCTGCAGGCCCGGGCGAAATGTAATATTAGTTTCTTAAACATTTACCAGCCCTTGTGCGACTTGAAACTTTTATTAGAGAAGCCTTTATAAATACACAACACCTGGTATCAATTGTCTTTGATCTTGAGAAGGCATACAAGACTACTTGGAAATATGGTATCCTAAAAGATCTAAAGGATGCTAGACTTAAAGGTAGACTTTCTCTTTTCATTTCTGAATTTCTAAACGATTTCTAAACGATAGGCACTTTAAAGTAAGACTTGGTTCAATTTTTTCTGAGGATCACCAACAAAAGGAAGCATACTTTCTGTAACACTTTTTGGCCTTAAAACAATATTGCTAGCGCTCTTCCACCTTGCATAGATTGTTCGCTATATGCAGACGATTTTCTTATTTGCTACCGATCGAAAAGTATGAGAACAATTGAAATTCAACTTCAACAAAAGTTAGATTTAATTCTAAAGTGGTCAATAGAAAACGGTTTTAAATTTTTAAAGTAAAAAAACTCAACGTGTTCATTTTTGTCGATTGCGGAAACACCATAATGACCCTGAACTTTACATATCTGATTCTAAAATTTCAGTAGTTGATGAAGTTAAGTTTTTAGGAATTATTTTGATAAAACATTTCTTTTATACCACATATTAAACATTTGAAATCTAAATGCCTAAAAGCTTTAAATTTACTAAAGGTTTTATCAAGTACAAATTGGGGATCAAATTCTTCTACATTACTGAAATTATACAGAAGTCTTATTCGATCAAAATTAGATTATGGTTCGTGGTATATGGGTCTGCAAGAAAATCATATCTTAAAATGCTAGACACCATACATCACCAGGGTTAACGTTTAGCTTTAGGTGCTTTTATGCACCTCACCTGTAGAAATTTTATATGCGGAAGCTGGGGAACCATCGCTTCATCTTCGTTGAAAAAAAGCTATCACTTCAATATGCAACTAGAGTTTCATCTAATAGCAAAAATGCGGCTTAAATATTATTTTCAAACCAAGTGATGCTGAAAAATTTGTTAACAAACTAAAGGAAATTAACCATTAGGCCTTCGTTTAAGATTTGATTTAGATAAACTAAAAATTAATCCAGACAGTATCCTTCAAAATGACGATGAGGATATTCCCCCTTTGACTTATAATTCACCGGAAATAAATATTAACCTCTCAAATATAAAAAAGTCATCAAATCCACCTGAAAATTTCATAGAGAAGTTAGTACCAATAAAGGAAGAACATGAAGATGTTAGACATATTTATACGGACGGTTCAAAAGAAG